AAAATAGAATAAACACAACCACAATGAAATTACCCACGCCAGCCTCTACTTTCATCTCATAATCGTCATACTGCTTTTGTTTATGCCATTTAGTTGATTACTAGCATTGATAGGAAAAGCAAGCAGGGCAATGGGCAGATTGTAGAACTTGAAGGGACTTTGTATGTAGGAAAGAAGTTTAGAAATGTTATAATTAGGCTGTCGAATGTCTTCAGTTTTCATTTACACATTGGGTACATGTAATTACACTCCTTGCTTTCTTGTGATATGAATTAGTTTGGTTAGCATAGTTCTGCCTTTGTGAATAAGTGTTATTGAAAGTTTTACCCTATCACGAACCCCCATTGTTTTTGTAGTATTCAATCACGCAAGAGTTTCTTCTGTACAGATCAATAACTCATGTATTTTGGTCTGAAGTTGGCCCCTATTTGTGTAAATTCCTTTTCTCAATAATGTTTTCAATTTTATGCCATTGACTAAATTAATGACAGGATCAATAGCTATACCTTATGTCCCAGGGGGATGATTGATAATGCTCTCTAACATGATAATGGTATCTCTAAAGTGAAACAGGCATATGTAAACCAAAGATATATGAATGGATTTTAAGTTCACATTTAAATCTAGCCCCGCTCTTAGAACAATTAGTTCTTATGACATGGCCCTCCTTGATACCCTCATAAAGAGATCACTGAAGATACGGTGCTATAGCAAAGTATGAGGAAACTAGACGGTATGATAGTGGGAGCCCAAAAGTCATCTGTAGAGTAACTAGTTAGATTAAGCCACTGGCAGACCTCCACTAGCCACAGGGAAGAATCTGGAACAGCCTTACTATCAGACAGAGCTTATTATAATCTTGATTATGCTGGATCGAACTTGATACTTGGTCAGCTGACCTCCCTATTGATCCACCCTGAATTTGCTCTAGGTGCAAGTATCTCTTGTGTGTTCCATGATAACAATTTCTTCCCTGGATGTTTTAAATCTTGAGACGGTCTTTTCTTTCTTACTCATTATTTGTATTTTTATATTATTATCATTTTATTTCTACCACCTTGTTTTGATTTTGTTTTATATTGTTTCT